TATTAGAAAATCTGGGTATAAGATTTTTGACCATCTGAACACCCCCCAAATCGCGATTAGAGGCATATTTACGGAGATAAATCGATTTAAAGTTTTGGAAAAATCCACCAGCCAACAAGTAAAGAATTTTGAAATATTTTATGCTAGGAAATCTGGGTATAAAAATTTTGACCATCTGAACACCCCCCAAATCGCGATTTGAGGCATATTTACGGAGATAAATCGATTTAAAGGTTTGGGAAATCCACCAGCCGACAAGTAAAGAATTTTGAAATATTTTATATTAGGAAATCTGGGTATAAGAATTTTGACCATCTGAACACCCCCCAAATCACGATTAGAGGCATATTTACGGAGATAAATCGATTTAAAGGTTTGGGAAATCCACCAGCCGACAAGTAAAGAATTTTGAAATATTTTATACTGAGAAATCCGGGTATAAAAATTTCGACCATCTTAACACCCCGCAAATCGCGATTAGAGGCATATTTACGGAGATAAATCGATTTAAAGGTTTGGAAAATCCACCAGCCGACAAGTAAAGAATTTTGAATTATTTTATACTGAGAAATCCGGGTATAAAAATTTCGACCATCTTAACACCCCGCAAATCGCGATTAGAGGCATATTTACGGAGATAAATCGATTTAAAGGTTTGGAAAATCCACCAGCCGACAAGTAAAGAATTTTGAAATATTTTATACTGAGAAATCCGGGTATAAAAATTTCGACCATCTTAACACCCCGCAAATCGCGATTAGAGGCATATTTACGGAGATAAATCGATTCAAAGGTTTGGGAAATCCACCAGCCGACAAGTCAAGAATTTTGAAATATTTTATGCCAGGAAATCTGGGTATAAAAATTTTGACCATCTGAACACCCCCCAAATCACGATTAGAGGCATATTTACGGAGATAAATCGATTTAAAGGTTTGGGAAATCCACCAGCCGACAAGTGAAGAATTTTGAAATATTTTATACTTGGAAATCCGGGTATAAAAATTTCGACCATCTGAACACCCCCCAAATCGCGATTAGAGGCATATTTACGGAGATAAATCGATTTAAAGGTTTGGGAAGTCCACCAGCCGACAAGTCAAGAATTTTGAAATATTTTATACTGAGAAATCCGGGTATAAAAATTTCGACCATCTGAACACCCCCCAAATCGCAATTAGAGGCATATTTACGGAGATAAATCGATTTAAAGGTTTGGGAAATCCACCAGCCGACAAGTAAAGAATTTTGAAATATTTTATATTAGGAAATCTGGGTATAAGATTTTTGACCATCTGAACACCCCCCAAATCGCGATTAGAGGCATATTTACGGAGATAAATCGATTTAAAGTTTTGGAAAAATCCACCAGCCAACAAGTAAAGAATTTTGAAATATTTTATGCTAGGAAATCTGGGTATAAAAATTTTGACCATCTGAACACCCCCCAAATCGCGATTTGAGGCATATTTACGGAGATAAATCGATTTAAAGGTTTGGGAAATCCACCAGCCGACAAGTAAAGAATTTTGAAATATTTTATATTAGGAAATCTGGGTATAAGAATTTTGACCATCTGAACACCCCCCAAATCACGATTAGAGGCATATTTACGGAGATAGATCGATTTAAAGGTTTGGGAAATCCACCAGCCGACAAGTAAAGAATTTTGAAATATTTTATATTAGGAAATCTGGGTATAAGATTTTTGACCATCTGAACACCCCCCAAATCGCGATTAGAGGCATATTTACGGAGATAAATCGATTTAAAGTTTTGGAAAAATCCACCAGCCAACAAGTAAAGAATTTTGAAATATTTTATGCTAGGAAATCTGGGTATAAAAATTTTGACCATCTGAACACCCCCCAAATCGCGATTTGAGGCATATTTACGGAGATAAATCGATTTAAAGGTTTGGGAAATCCACCAGCCGACAAGTAAAGAATTTTGAAATATTTTATATTAGGAAATCTGGGTATAAGAATTTTGACCATCTGAACACCCCCCAAATCACGATTAGAGGCATATTTACGGAGATAAATCGATTTAAAGGTTTGGGAAATCCACCAGCCGACAAGTAAAGAATTTTGAAATATTTTATACTGAGAAATCCGGGTATAAAAATTTCGACCATCTTAACACCCCGCAAATCGCGATTAGAGGCATATTTACGGAGATAAATCGATTTAAAGGTTTGGAAAATCCACCAGCCGACAAGTAAAGAATTTTGAATTATTTTATACTGAGAAATCCGGGTATAAAAATTTCGACCATCTTAACACCCCGCAAATCGCGATTAGAGGCATATTTACGGAGATAAATCGATTTAAAGGTTTGGAAAATCCACCAGCCGACAAGTAAAGAATTTTGAATTATTTTATACTGAGAAATCCGGGTATAAAAATTTCGACCATCTTAACACCCCGCAAATCGCGATTAGAGGCATATTTACGGAGATAAATCGATTTAAAGGTTTGGAAAATCCATCAGCCGACAAGTAAAGAATTTTGAAATATTTTATACTGAGAAATCCGGGTATAAAAATTTCGACCATCTTAACACCCCGCAAATCGCGATTAGAGGCATATTTACGGAGATAAATCGATTCAAAGGTTTGGGAAATCCACCAGCCGACAAGTCAAGAATTTTGAAATATTTTATGCCAGGAAATCTGGGTATAAAAATTTTGACCATCTGAACACCCCCCAAATCACGATTAGAGGCATATTTACGGAGATAAATCGATTTAAAGGTTTGGGAAATCCACCAGCCGACAAGTGAAGAATTTTGAAATATTTTATACTTGGAAATCCGGGTATAAAAATTTCGACCATCTGAACACCCCCCAAATCGCGATTAGAGGCATATTTACGGAGATAAATCGATTTAAAGGTTTGGGAAGTCCACCAGCCGACAAGTCAAGAATTTTGAAATATTTTATACTGAGAAATCCGGGTATAAAAATTTCGACCATCTGAACACCCCCCAAATCGCAATTAGAGGCATATTTACGGAGATAAATCGATTTAAAGGTTTGGGAAATCCACCAGCCGACAAGTAAAGAATTTTGAAATATTTTATATTAGGAAATCTGGGTATAAGATTTTTGACCATCTGAACACCCCCCAAATCGCGATTAGAGGCATATTTACGGAGATAAATCGATTTAAAGTTTTGGAAAAATCCACCAGCCAACAAGTAAAGAATTTTGAAATATTTTATGCTAGGAAATCTGGGTATAAAAATTTTGACCATCTGAACACCCCCCAAATCGCGATTTGAGGCATATTTACGGAGATAAATCGATTTAAAGGTTTGGGAAATCCACCAGCCGACAAGTAAAGAATTTTGAAATATTTTATATTAGGAAATCTGGGTATAAGAATTTTGACCATCTGAACACCCCCCAAATCACGATTAGAGGCATATTTACGGAGATAGATCGATTTAAAGGTTTGGGAAATCCACCAGCCGACAAGTAAAGAATTTTGAAATATTTTATATTAGGAAATCTGGGTATAAGATTTTTGACCATCTGAACACCCCCCAAATCGCGATTAGAGGCATATTTACGGAGATAAATCGATTTAAAGTTTTGGAAAAATCCACCAGCCAACAAGTAAAGAATTTTGAAATATTTTATGCTAGGAAATCTGGGTATAAAAATTTTGACCATCTGAACACCCCCCAAATCGCGATTTGAGGCATATTTACGGAGATAAATCGATTTAAAGGTTTGGGAAATCCACCAGCCGACAAGTAAAGAATTTTGAAATATTTTATATTAGGAAATCTGGGTATAAGAATTTTGACCATCTGAACACCCCCCAAATCACGATTAGAGGCATATTTACGGAGATAAATCGATTTAAAGGTTTGGGAAATCCACCAGCCGACAAGTAAAGAATTTTGAAATATTTTATACTGAGAAATCCGGGTATAAAAATTTCGACCATCTTAACACCCCGCAAATCGCGATTAGAGGCATATTTACGGAGATAAATCGATTTAAAGGTTTGGAAAATCCACCAGCCGACAAGTAAAGAATTTTGAATTATTTTATACTGAGAAATCCGGGTATAAAAATTTCGACCATCTTAACACCCCGCAAATCGCGATTAGAGGCATATTTACGGAGATAAATCGATTTAAAGGTTTGGAAAATCCACCAGCCGACAAGTAAAGAATTTTGAAATATTTTATACTGAGAAATCCGGGTATAAAAATTTCGACCATCTTAACACCCCGCAAATCGCGATTAGAGGCATATTTACGGAGATAAATCGATTCAAAGGTTTGGGAAATCCACCAGCCGACAAGTCAAGAATTTTGAAATATTTTATGCCAGGAAATCTGGGTATAAAAATTTTGACCATCTGAACACCCCCCAAATCACGATTAGAGGCATATTTACGGAGATAAATCGATTTAAAGGTTTGGGAAATCCACCAGCCGACAAGTAGAACCATAGAGGTAACTCTAAGACCAGCAGGTCCCGAAGAAACGTGCTCAACTTTTTGGCTCACCTCTACTATCTTCAGTCCCAAGCTAATCGATGCACCCCTCGAAACAGGAAAATCCACGAACCCCTCATTTTATCTGTCAAACTTTCATAGCGAATCAAAACAAACATTATGTAGTACTAGAATTTCGACTAGAATGGGGTAAGTTAATCGTTTGCTTGGGACCAATAGGCTAGTCAAGTAGTGAGCCAATTTAAAATCGTTAGTTTCGTATTGATTGTTGTTCTACTGTGAATCGTCGACATCAAGACCCGTGAAACGGTGATCAAAAGAAAACTGTCTGCATATTTAGCACAGTGCAGTTATTTTATATCCTCACTCACTGGTTCATTTCAACTCACGGATAATCGAACTGATGAGCGAGAGAGCGGACGAGCGAAAATGAACTCCTTTTGTTTTCATCCACCGTTTCTTCTTGACATCAGTGAGCTTGATTCTCTTGACATCAGTTGCAGCATAAAATGTCATTCAAGAACATACACGACTCGAAAGTGGCGGTAGTAATCTGGTTGAAAATAAGCATTAAAGTGTAATGAATTGTAATTTTGTCTGAGGGAATGTAATAAGTGTGGTTAGTGTATTTCTTGTTGAGTGTGATCGCAGTCGGCCGGCTACAACGATGGGAGTAACCGGCTTGTGGAAACTGGTGGAACAATCGGGAAAACCGGTTCCATTGGAGACGCTGGAAAACAAGGTGCTTGCAGTCGGTGAGTTTCTTTTTTTGCTGATGGTTTTAGCGGGTACGAACTGAATTTGATTTTTGCCTTTTAGATATATCAATCTGGCTTCATCAGGTGACTAAGGGATTTCAGGATTCCAAGGGAAGTTCCCTCCCGAATGCACACATTCTGGGCCTATTCCATCGGCTTTGCAAGCTGATGTACTATCGCATTAAGCCAGTGTTTGTTTTCGACGGTGGAGTTCCAGCCTTGAAAAGACAAACTATTGTAATTAATAGATTGTAGCTTTGAAGTAAGGGGTACGTTATTTTATGAAATCTCATTTCAGGCAAAGCGCAACCAGAGCAAAAGCAAGTACCACAATGAAGCTGATCGATTGCAGCAACTGTTACTGGAAACACTGGCAAAGGAAAAGGTCGTCCAACAAGCCCTGGGATCAGCAACGAATCTGCTGGTTTCACCTTCGAAAAAACCCGGTAACAACAGCAAAACCGAAGGCGAACCGGACGAAATGTTCAAACTGCCTCCGTTGAAGGAAGACTCGCCATTCAAGAATGCTGACAGTAGCCAAACGGATCTGGATGACAGTTGCAGCTCTTGGGATGAGAAGAGTTCAAAGACGTACTACCATCTGAACTTGAATGCGATCGACGTAACGAGTGTTCATTTCAAAAACTTACCGGCCGATGTGAGACATGACATTTTGAGTGATATCAAGGAGACGAGGAAACAGAATTCCTGGGGACGGTTGCACGAACTACCAGTAGAAAGTAATAATTTTTCATCGTTTCAAATGAAGCGGCTTCTAAAGCGTCGTACCGTTCAGGTGGAGCTAGAGGAAGCCGAAAAGGAGATGGGTGGGAAATGTCTTTCGTTGGCAGAGCTAGAAGCACTGCTGTCCGAGGAGGGAGTGGACACTTCCTCCAGTCAAGCGGCACAGAAGATTGCTTCGGATGAAAATACACGATTTTTGCTGGTCAGAGACGTGCAGAAAGCAATTGAGAAGGCAAAAATCAAGGAAGAAGAGGAGAAAAATGCTCCGAAGCCGCCAAAATTCGCCAAAAAGAATGCTTCGAAGTCGGAACCGGTGGAGGTGTTGGATGATAAGGAAATGGATGAGGAGTTGCAGTTGGCCATCCAGATGTCGCTGATGCAGGATGAAGATCCCAATGTGTTGATCAATCTGGAACAGGATGAGGTGCAGATGTCAAAGAAGCAGAAGGAAGCTTTAGGGAGTGCTGCCTTGGGTTTGGCTCGAGGGTATATGATGGAGTACGGTGGCATGTCCAACGATGATTTTCGAGAATTGATGCATCAAACACAGGATGTGGATCCGGGTGAGGCGGAGCAATCATTCACGCAGATGTTTAACCACAATAGTGTGTCTGTGTTGAAAGGAACAGATGATCCAGAGGATAAGGAAGAAGCGGAACAGACAGCTGAAGTTTTGGCATCATCAGATACAGACACGGACTCGGATTTCATCGATGTTCCAACGGACGATTTGGATGATTCGGCTCCCGGAGTATTGCTACCGTTGAACCCTAGCAACCACCTGAAGCCGCTCTATAGTACCGTAGTGGACTTTAGGTTGGAGGATTTGAAGCTGAACAAAGATGGAAAGAAGGTGGTGGAAGTGATTATCGATGAGAGGAAGATTGGTGCGAAGGAGGAAGATGATATTTTTGCTGACATATTTGAACCGAAAATGGTGGATGAATTAGACCAATTGAAACCGATTATGGAGAAGGCATTAATTTCTAAAATTCATCAGGATGTTCCGGAAATAACAAATCTAGTTCCAAGTGGTTCAAAAGTTTGTAGCAGTGAATTTTGTGGCATTTCTGTTACTTAATTGCATCGTTTTTAATTTCAGGAGCAAATAAAGCCACTAGTGACGCCAAAGTTTGCTGGACTCAAAGTCAAAAAGGTGGACGATATCAACGCACGGCTACAAGAGGAACTTGAACGGTTGAAAACGGCACCGGTGATCAACCTGGACGATATATCAGTCAATCTTGATGAAGACCATCCACTTGTCGAGACAATACCGACCAAGAAAAGCGTAGAAAACAGCAAACCAGAGGCCGTACATGACAGCATCAAAAAGCAACCAGAAATGCTCAAATCCCAGGCCCCGGTGATCGATTTGGACGAAATCAAACTGGATGATGCTTTGGTGAAGGAAGCTGAACCGAACAAAGCAATCTCAGATGCCGAAGACAGCGATGCAACCGTGGGCTATTCACCAATGAAGGAAGTTCGAAAAATGCTGGAAACTTCAGAAAAATCTCGCATGACCACAATCCAATCCAACGAAACTGAACCTGAAGCTCAGCAAGTAACGAACCACATTTATGATACTCCTAAAAAGGGAACACTTGAGCATTTGGTTTTATCACGCACGCCCGGTAGCGACTCGAAGCAGTCCGAACCGGAAGAAGACATACCGAATGTACCGAAACCTTTCTTCGTTAACAAAACACCAACGTCGTCTTCGAAGAAGCAACATCTCCAATCCCCGAATTCGACCCCATCAAAGGCAACCAAAGTCTCGAAGGAACTGTTTCCCCCATCGGAGGAACCGATGCCCTCAACCAGCAAAGCTCCGTTGCCAACAGCCGAGAATATGATTGCCGATATGGCAGACACCTTGAAGGACAACAAAACACCTTTGGAGCTGAAAAAGATGGCTTTGAATCTTGCCCAAACAGAAAGGGAACTGGAGAAGGAAAAGAACCGTCAAGCTCGGTTGGGAACGTCCATAACGGAGCAGATGCAAGACGATTGCATGCAGCTCCTGAGATTGTTCGGGGTTCCGTACATCGTGGCACCGATGGAGGCGGAAGCGCAGTGTGCTTTTCTGAATCAGATCCAGATTACTGACGGGACGATTACGGATGACAGTGATATTTGGCTGTTCGGTGGGCAGACGGTGTATAAGAATTTCTTCAATCAGCAAAAGTTGGTGCTGGAGTATTCGGCGGATGGCATCGAGCGGTTGTTTCAGATGGACCGGAAGAAGCTGATACAGCTGGCTCTGTTGGTGGGAAGCGATTATACAACGGGTAATGATTATTTAGTTCTGAATTCTGAGCTAATTTGGGAATTTTAATTAGATAAACCAAATAAGACCCTGATGTTAACTAATGCGTTTTTTTCTTAAATGTCGATAGGTATCAACGGCATCGGTGCTGTCACGGCACTGGAGATACTCGCATCGTTTCCAACCACGCCGGAAAAGGACGGTGAAACTTCGGAAATGATGTCCCTTCTCTCGGGACTGCGCAAATTTCGCGACTGGTGGAACCACGGCCGAAACAGTTCCGTAGGTACCCGCATAACCCTCAAATCCAAGCTGAAAAACATTGAATTTACCGAAGGATTTCCCAGTTCCGGAGTGGTAGAAGCATATCTGTTCCCCACGGTAGACAGCAACAAGGAACCCTTCACATGGGGCTACCCGGACGTGGAAAGTTTACGGGACTTTACGAAGCAAAAATTCGGCTGGCCTCAGTCCAAATTCAATGACGTCATAATGCCGGTGATTAAACGATTGGATGAACGGAAATCGCAAGCTTCGATTAAGAACTACTTTAAAGTTCAAAGCGCTGTCGCCAACAATCAGCTGAAGGTCAGCAAGCGCGTTCAGCAAGCCGTTGATGTCATGGCAGGAAAAGTTACGGAAGAACCGGTCAAGAGTCCAAAGAAAAAGGTCACACGCAAGCGCAAACCAAAAGCAGGTGAACCAACTGATGCTGCTGCAACTCAATCAACATCTTCCGAAATTATCAGCTTGACACAAGACAGCGATGATGACTTTGCTGAGCCGAAGAAAACTAGAGGAAGAAAGCCTGCAGCAAGCAAGGCCAAGAAAGCAATACCAAAATCTGCCAAGCAGACAATCACGGGTCAAACCGAAAACTCCGAAACCGACAAACCATCCACCTCCTTGGTGAACATCGGCAGTTTAATCTCCAAGATAAACGATCAATCGGCGGACAAGCTGGGAGAAGATGCTGCTGTCGGCAGAAAGAAACCTGTCAAGAACAAGATACCGGATTTCAATCCCCCTATTCCGCAGCGCTTGAAGGACGAAGAGGATGTGGTCAACCGGAAGCAACGAGCAATTGAAGTATTCAAAAAGTCACAAGCCGAATCGAAAGGCCCAAAAACACGCAAATAAGTCGCCTGCCCAAGGCAGGTTCAATGTGTCTAATTTAATTGTTATTGATGAATAAAATACGCTCGCAGCGTGTCTCAGAAAAAAAAATCTTTATCGTCAGTATTAATTTATCCTCACAATGATAGATGACTTCCCTCGGCACGAGTGGTTTCAATTCCCTAATCGCACCGCGGCTTGCCGTATTGAAATAAGCTAATTGTTTACATCCTCCCGGGAATTTTACCAAACACGGTTGGTTGCGTCACGATATAATTATGTTCGTCTTCATCAATCCAAGAGACCTCCAGCAATTCATTGGCAAACCTGGCTTGGCTGGCAGTTCCATATAGGTATAGGCATCTATCGAGTGAGGACGTTCAGTTTAGATTAGATAGCTGATTGGAATAAATGATGATCGCTGATGGAGCGTCGTTCATTTCGCTATTCTGCTGGATTAGTTAGTGGGATTAAGGGATGTGGATAATTTTGCGCAATCTAAAATTCAAATCTGGACTTCAGATGCTAATTTCTGAAGCGTGTGTACAATACTGCTGCAGCAGCTTGGAGGTAGATTTTACCTCCGTTGGAAAGTGTAAGATGGTTTCAAAATTGTTTTTTCAACAATGGTATATCGTACATTTCCTTTTCTTATATACCTACCTATTAAAAATTGACTGCTAAACTGGCAAATTAGCCTTTTAGTACATCCTATCTAGATTGATTTAAACTTCGGAAATGAGAACTTTGTCCCTTGTGTTCGTAAACGTCAAAAAGCAACAATCTACCATGCGCTTCCATCGACCATCAGCATTGATGACCGTACACTTAGGCTCTGCATCATTCGGTGGATTATTTTAACTATTGGTTAAAATTTGACAGATGGAAAGTTATCCATTAACCCTGCTATGCGAGCATGGTTATTTCTGACAGATAAGAAGTTAAATTTTGACAATCTTAGGCTCTGAACCATTTGGAGGATTATTTTAACTTTTGGTTAAAATTTGACAGATGGAAAGTTATCGATTAACCCTGCTATCCGAGCGTGGTTACTTCTGACAGACAAGAAGTTAAATTTTGACAACTGTGGCTGAGTTCTTCTCGAAAACCGGTCGATCGACAGCACAGGGATTTTCGAACATAGAAAATAACTTTCGAAGTGTCACTTTTAACCACGAGTTAAATTTAACTCGGCAAATGGTTCACAGCCTTAGATAAGTTCTTCTCCGGTCGATCGACAGGGATTTTCGAACCTAGAAAATAACTTTCGAAAATTCACTTTAAACCACGAGTTAAATTTAACTCGGCAAATGGTTCACAGCGTTGTTCCATTTGGTGAATTTTCACTTAAATTTGACAGATGAAAATTTTTCAAATAAATCTGCTATTCCAGCAGACTTATCTCTGACAGATAAGGAATCAATTTTGACAGAAACCTTTTTGAAAATCGGCCGATCAACAGCAGAGAGATTTTCGAAAATCTTAATTAATATCCTAAATGTTAAATTTAAGCATTTCCGCACCGCAGAGCTACAGTCTGTGTTTTCACTGAAGGTGCACTTTAGAGCACTCTCAAGTGCACCTTCAGTGAAAACACAGAGTGTAGCTCTGCGGTGCAGACAATTCCATTCCATTTTCTGATGGGTTAACTGAAAATGCAATTGGATTTAACGTAACTATTTAAATTTAAAATCCATCCCTGTCTCTCTGGAAGGATTCGATCGTGATATCCAACCAGCACACTTTTCAATGTACAGAGAGCTACCGTGGTTTGCAGATGGGGGCTGGTATTCCTTTTTCCCGATTCCTAGATGCCTGATCTTTGGAAGTAAGAATACTGACTGCAAATGGTATCTTCATTACCAAAAACTGGACTCCTTCCATTTATTAGCAAAAACCAAACTCCATCCGCAAACAACGCCCAACAAACAATTCAGAGTTACAAATAAGCATATATAATGAATAAATGCTGTATTACAGTGTACAATGCTGAATAAAACGGGTTGTCGAATTATGTGCTGAAAAAAGCTCATTGAGATCGATAGATGCACCTTTATTCCTGGTAGTGGGTATATGAGATAATAGTAGTGATTTGAGTGACTAAAATAACGAAAATAGTGACTTTTAAACAATAAAGAATTGACCAATAATGATATTTTTTGATCGGAAAGATATGGTTCCAATCTTCCCTTGATTCCGATTACCACTTAGAGAATTTTATAAACTCACAAACCCATCATACACTGATAGGCAAAATAAAGTGCCCACCCCATCATTTTTGAAATTTCTCTCATTTATTTGGTTCAAATTCAAATAAACACACCGTAGTCTGTTTCGATGTCTTACCTTTATTATTCTTTTAAAGTTACACCTATGGAATACTGAAAATATAAAGTTTTACTTGAAGTAAAAGAAAATCAATTTGGATTGAAAAAGAAAACAGTGACAAAAAAAAGTGCCCACTTCAAAAATCGGTATGTTTTCGATAAGTTTCCATCGGAAAACCCCTCGATTGTTTTTGTTTTGAAAGTTTGACATGTATTGAAGCAAACGGGTGGAACTGGTGCATTTGTACACGTGATCGCATTTGAATCAGTTGAAAAAAATGGAGGACGTAGTGATTTCGAAAGCAATTCCCGTGTGTATCCGAAAATTGGTTGTTCGTGATGTGCAAAACGGTGAATCGCACCGGTCTGTCGCTAGGAAGTACAATATCAGCAAAACAGCGGTCGGGAAAATTCTGCAGAAAATGAAATCGTTCGGATCAGTGGTGGATCGCCCTGGCAGAGGCAGGATGCGCAAAACGGATGCGAGAACGGACACCAAGATCATGCGTGAAGTGAAGAAGAACCCGAAGGTAACTGTCCGCGAGATCCAGGAGGCTCTTCAGCTAACAGTTTCCAGTCGAACTGTTCGTCGCCGTCTCGTAGCACAGGGGTTGAACAGCAAAGTTGCTCGGAAGCGCCCATTTATCAGCAAGGCAAACAAAGTCAAACGGCTTAAGTTTGCTAAGGAGCATGCTGATAAGCCCCTAGAGTTCTGGAAAACGGTTCTCTGGACGGACGAATCAAAATTCGAACTGTTCAACCGGAAGCGACGGGTTCGTGTGTGGTGTAGATCGGGTGAGGAGCTTCAGGAGCGCCACATACAAGGCACGGTGAAGCATGGAGGAGGAAATGTGATGGTCTGGGGGTGCTTTTCGTGGGGTGGAGTGGGAAGCCTGGTGAAAATCGACGGGATAATGACGGCAGATTCCTACATCGACATCCTGCGGGAAAATCTGGAAGTTTCGCTGATCCAGACGGGCCTTGAGGAGAAATTCGTATTCCAGCAGGACAACGATCCGAAGCATACTGCCAAGAAGACTAAGTCTTTCTTCCGGTCATGTCGAATTAAACCACTGGAATGGCCTCCACAAAGCCCGGACCTCAACCCCATCGAGAATTTGTGGGCGATTCTCGATGCCAGGGTTGACAAAACTGGTGTTACCAATAAAAATAACTATTTTGAAGCCCTGGAGCGCGCCTGGGAAGAACTAGATCCACAGCACCTGAAGAATCTAGTGGAGAGCATGCCGAAGCGCCTGCAGCTGGTCCTGAAGGCCAAAGGAGGACACATTAACTATTAGGCTGGTATTCTTTTACTTTATTTTATGTTTTCTGGAGTTAAAATGCAGTGGGCACTTTTTTTTGTCACTGTTCTTTTTTACACCCATTTTGATTTTTTTTTCTTCGAGTCAGTCTCTTCTTTTTATCTGGTATTCTATAAGTGAAACTTAAAAAGAATATAAAGAATAAGATATAAAAAATACTACAGTGTATTTACTTTAATTTGAACCAAATAAATGAGAGAAATTCAAAAAATGATGGGGTGGGCACTTTATTTTGCCTATCAGTGTACAATGCGTTCATGCTTTTTAAAAATAAAACAAATGGTTTAAGAATCCCATGAATTGAATAAGAAAGAGCATTTTCCGATTCTAACCACCATTTAATTACTCTGCACTCTTTTATCTACCTCAATGATTTAAAAACAAACTATTTACTAAGTTTGTACTGGAGGCATTTTCACAATTTTAGGACCGTCATTTTTAAAGATCTAGGATATAAATGAAGCGATGCGTTTTGCAACGTGAAGAACTGCAGCTTAGAATGAAATGTACATAGATCTAAGTTAGCCATGGCCCAAGAGTGTCCCTCTCCCTTGGTAGTCGCTATAAAGGACTGGTCATCTTTTTACTTTGCTCCATTCCTCCCTAGAGTGGAGTCTTCTGTAACACCTCAAACATAGAAACATTCCCAACTTTTCTAGATCGCAGTTTAAGAAAAACAAAATCAATATTATGGTACAAGTAAAATTTTCCAAAATGAAATGATCACGGACATAAACAAAAATGTGAATGCGTCTAGGACTTTAAATCTCGATCGTGCAACATTAGGGATTTAGGGATACATTTTAGAGCTTTTAGTTTTTTTCTAATACCTGGACCTGGAAATTTGTTGTTCCCGTATTACCGGAATTAATGGGCATAAAAAGGAACTCAAGATTTTGTCACATGATTTTTTCTCGATGTTTGAACAAATACTAATGCTATATAAAGATTATTCAAATTTCTGGCCTTTGAACAAATGTCTAGAGCTTGAAAATTTTCCTAGACCATTATTTGACATCATAGGCTTGGAAAACTTTCAAGATCTCAATGTAAAATAACCGGAATTTTGGGTCAAGAACTTCTGAAGGTGAAAATTTAGTGATTCCGTCAACATCAATTGGACAGTTAAAGCAACCGGTGAACACTCGTGTTTATTTCAGTTACCATGGAGACGTAATTTGTGATTAGCCCCGGTCCCTTTCATATTGTATCATTATTTATGAACGGCCTTATATTTGAAATGACGTTTCACATTCATCTAGTGATGTCCGATTTTCATTCGAATAATCGTTTAATCGATTAACGAACCGAAAAGTAAACTATTTATAATCGGTTAGATCATGCCGATATAAGCATTAACATCTCCACAGGATCATCACCGATCGTTTCAAACATGTGCTGCACTCTCATTCGTGGAAAAATGGCAGCACAGCGAGCAAAAAATAATCGATT